AAAAAAGGTTAAAACTTCAGAAGGAGCAATATCAATAACACATAAGGAAGGCTTTCCTGGTAGCGAGGGCTACTGAAGAGACTGGGGAAAGAAGCTGCAGAACAACCAGCTGGCTTAGATACAGTGTTGGCTGGAGGCAAGGAGCTGGCCGGGGTGAACCCTCAAAGCATATAACTACTTGTACTTGAAAATATTACCCAAAAATTTTGTACCTAGGATGCTTGGTGACACTGAAGGCCTGCGATGGAAGAAACCATACTTTGTACTATTACAGTATTCCAAATTCCCTAACACAATGCTGAGCACACAGTAGTTACACAGTAAAATAAATGTTTACTGACCAGACTGATCAGTCAGCTGGGAAGAACAGCAACTGGGAAAAGGAGAACTTGATTCCAGTCTTAGTTCTATGAATAAATTATCTGGGACTTGTAGGAAAGTTGTCAATTTCTCTCGGTCTTGATTTCCCTCTTTTGCAGGTCCCACCGCTTTGAGTTGAGGGTCCCGAGCCCCGGGAACAATGTGACACCAGCATTCTGATTTACCTGTTCTGTGTTCAGTTCATGCTGCTTATCAATGTCATTGAGGAGAAATATGAAAGCTTCACTTTTAGTGTCACTTCATCCACCCATCAGCATTTTGAGCTTGTTCAAATCATTAAATTTCCCCGGGATTCCATCTATAGAAGCCTTTTTTTAGTCAAAAATTCTATAATTTCACAACAAAGGCACATTGAGGTACATTCTCTGTTTATTCACATTATCATTTCTTACATGTTTCAGGAAAAAAATTGGCTCAAAATATAAAAATTACTTTAAAATACTGTAACAGTTAATTCATTAACACTATACTTTCATGTTCATTTATTTCTCCAAGATGGCAAACTTTATCTCAAACTTCCAATCAGTGATTATTATCTTTGTCTGTTCAACTATTAAAAATACAGTAATATTAGTTCCTATTTCATTTAGAAAAATTCTTTGATTCCATGGGGCTCCCATGTTCTGTCACACTAGTTACACTTGTACACCAATAATTTAGACAAGTCACATGTAGAAACTTCAGGAAGTTCAAACTAAGCTAAAAGACTTTCATTTGTCCTCTAAAAGTAAAATCGTGATTTGCCTTTTCAAATCAAAGAGACGTGTTATCAGCAAATATTTACACAAAGACCTACTGATAACTGAATGGTTTAACTAATACAGCTTGCAACTACAAAACCAGCATGATTAGAATCTGTAGATAAAGACATTAATAAAAGGTGTACTGACTGTATGCTTGCATACATTTATACTTGACTGGATGGATATTCATTTATACATTCATTCATTCAATAAGCATTATGGAATTCTGCTTGGTACTAGACATTGTGAGCTAGGGATGAAAAAGTGATAAGACACGGCCCTTTCCTAGGAGGTATTTCCAAACTAACAGATATTACAAATACGTAAATAAGTGCTCACTGAGAAGTTCTATACTAGAGGTATCTATAACAAGAAAGGAAAGGGGGGTGGAACTAATGGCCTGGATGTAAGAAGTAATAGATTTAGATTCCTCCACAAGGACCAGAATCAAAGAATATAGAATAGCTAGTGTGAAATAGTAAAAGAAAAGGATATAATTATAAAAACAAACATAGAGCAGAAGGAAACCTACAGATTTGAGAAAAATGAGACTTCTAAATATGTAGTTAAGTTTTGATATCTGAAACTCAACTGACTGGTTGAGTATATACAGTAAAGGGAGAAAAGAAAATAGAATATATGGAAGCAGCATGTTTAATACAATGAGAAAGTCTAATATCTATAATTAGAGTAACAGAAGAAGAAATATTCTGGCCTCTACTCACTAGATGCCAATGGCACCCCTTTCTATCAGCTATGAAAATCAGCATCTTCAGACATTGCCAAATGTCTCTGAGGGACAAAATCACCCCAGTTGAGAACCACTGCCACAAAAAAACAGGAAATACAAATTACTGACCTATTTCACTCATGGTTATGCAGGCAAAAATTCTAAATAATGGCAAATTAAATGATGGAATCCAGTTGGGAATTTTTCCTGAAATACAAACATGCTTGCATATTTGGAAAGCTATGAATATTATAACCCACATTGACAAATTAAAGAAGAAAAACTTCATGTCCTTTCAGTATGTATATGTGTATATATACACATACCTACATATACTGGACCCACAGTGTCCAGTAGTAGGCAGTTAATTTTTCCCTGGGCTCTACACCTTATAATGATCCATCTGCAGTGTGAATTAGAAACCATGCTTTACATTCATTGCCTAATATAAGAAGGTACACATGTAACTCAGAAGCCTTCTACACAAGATTATCACTCTTTAGAGAAAAGGTTAAAGAATAAGACTAGCTAACAAAGCCACTTACAAATGTTTCAATTCCAGTGAAGGGTAAACTCTATATTTATTATAAGGATAAACTCTATATTTATTACAATGATACAACAAATGTCTACTAAAATGTTGATCTATATTTTAAAAGGCAATTCAAATAAATTAAATTCAATTTCAAACGACTGTTTAATTCTGTAGCATTCAGTACAATAGTCTTGGAAACCAACTGACCTTTACTGTTAGAATCTGGTAAATAAATACGAATGACTCATTAGTGCACTCACAAGAACTGAAATGCTCCTTTGCAGTGACTGTAGAATGTATTCAATTTAAAATGACCTCTATTACTTCTTATTTAATTGCACATATAAACAAATCTGAGATTTGTTCATATATTCAATGTTCAACAACTGAACAAGCTGAATTTCTAGCATCACCATGTCTACCAAATAGTCACTTAAGGAAATAAAAAGGGAAAGATGGTAAGAAGTATGAGGCTGAAAGAGGAGGTTCTTTATTCATGAGTTGGTCCATGCCATACCACCTTCCCCAGGCCTGCATCTCAGTTAGTAGGTAGTCAATGCTAATTCAGTATCAAATTCTTGATTCTCATAAATACTGACCTTAATCTTACTCAGTTTGTACAAAGGAACATCAGTTGAAGGAAGCTATGAAAATCATTTCCCTCAATATTTTGACATTCACATGAAGAGTAACAGCCTTCAATTAAGATATGAGATAGCTGTACTTAAGTAAATTAGTGGGTGTGAAGTTTGCCATGCCTTATCAGTCTAATAGATATTATAAAAATAATAGTAACAGTTGTCATACTTACCAATGGTTAACTGCTGTGCTGGGCACTTCAAACATACCTAAAAAGATGATAATCATACTAAGCCCAAAAGAAATGAAGAGATCACTGCCTGTCAGGGAAGGGAGGACTCATGACAAGCAATATTCTCATCATGTGGACCGTTCCGTCTTCATAGGCCACTATCCTACCTTTTATTTGCAACCACAGGTCCTTGACTACTTCCATTCTCTAATACTGAATCAATACTGGGAACACCATTGCCAAACAATCTCATCAGAAATATGGATTGTCTCACTTCTATAAAAAGGAGCCTGGGCATATTTAGAGCTTATCTTTATTAATCTATACCTTTGCTGGTGGAAGACCTTGATTGGGGTGAAGTCTGTTTCAAACGGCCCAGATGTTGCCCTTGAACATCTGGCTGCCTACCTGGAACCCTTCCTGTTGCTGCCAGCTGGCGCATTGCTGGCAGGGACGGAAACACGCAGCTCCCTGATCAATTCTTCAGCATACTTGTATCTACAACTTGTCTTCTCTCGGCAGTCCCAATCAAACCCACAACCCCAGTCCCAGTCCCCTTCAGGCAGATGTCTTTTGTTTGTTTTGTTTTCTGCTACCAGCTTATTCACATATGCCTCATCAGGAACAGTTGTCAGGGGGAAAATATGAGTGTGATTTTGTAGGGTCAATGGGAAAACGTAACACATTTTTAAGTGATCTAAAAAAAAATGCTCGAGCATTTTAGTAGTATGAATAGATAAGAAAAAAGTCTGAAAGGACAGTTCTAATACATGGTTCAAAAGATCCTTTTAGTTAGATTTTTCCTCTTTTAGAAAAGAGAAGACAATAGTCTCTGGTCCCCATTACATTTCCAGTATAGGCAACAGCTGAGTTCATAAATGAGAGTAAAATCATAGTTCTCATTCTCATTTGAACCCCTAGCTGGCACCACTATGTTAAGTGTCTTAGATGCATCATCTTATTTAATTCCCTCAGCAACTTCTGTGATTTTAGGAATTGTCATTATCCTAATTTTTTTTTTTTTGCAGGTGGAGAAAGAGTCTTAGCAACACTAAATAACATGTCCAAGATTATACAAATTTTAAGTAGCAGAGCTGAGACTCAAACCCAGGCATCTTTGAACTCAATGCATTTACTCCATGCTCTAAAGCCCCAAAACACCTTTCTGTACGGTTTTGGCTTACGTTTCAGTCTTTGCCTCCAATCAGTGAAAAACTCAAGGGCAGAATTTATTTCTCATTCATTTTTATATCTCCAGAGTATGGAATAATGCCTGATACAGAGCAGCAACTCGATGACAGTCAAATGAAAAAAATGATAATTAATAAAGGAAGGAAGGAAGGAATTTTAAAAAGGGACATAAAAACAGAATTTCATGTGGAAAAAGAAAGCTAATTCTGCACCAAGAATACTACCCCTGTGATTAGTTTTATGCCTCTCATTTCTATTGTAACAACATATAAGCATTTTGTGATAAGCATCATTTTTACTTTAGAATTAAATGGGACACTTTCAAAAATGGGTACTTTAGCCAGGAATGTAAATGAATGATTGAAATTCCATAATCAGAACATGACACAAACAACCAGCATATAATCATATGTTTCCTGTAATAAGCTACTTGAAGTGTTTGTTCTTAGGGTTACAATTTTGTAATCTAGACATGAGAGGAAGATCTATGCTCTTGACAACATTCAACACAGGCACTTCAACTGGCTCTGGATAAAAGACAAACCTTGCCTTTCCATCACATAGATGTTCTCTGTTCCTTATCAGTAAACAGACAGTCCTAACTGTTACCTTCACATCCTCTGCCATCCTCCTCCAGCTTCTGGCCAGCTTGACACTTGCAGTAATAACTGCCAATTGTATTACAGCACTGGTCCTGACAGCCACCATTGTCAATGGTACATTCGTTTACATCTGCAATTGAATATTTAAATAGAATTAGCCTCCCATAACTAGACACACAGGAAGACTTCTGTGGCTCACCTAAAAATGAACCATCACAGAGTGATATCATGCTTTGACTTCAAATTAAACAAGATGAAACTATAATATCTTAAATAGAGCAAATGCACTCTAATTTTGACAAAGAGGGATGAGTCATAATCTTTGGTATTTGAAGTGTTTTTGAACAGCATACTAAGGAGTTGCCTTGTCTTAGGGAATTTGGATACTTATTGTACAGATCTAGAAATTTCATATCCAAGTCATCATTTGAGAGTCAGGTTGAAAACAGAGTGAGAAACTAGTAATTCAGGACACTAGGTCAGCTGTTTGTCCATTAAATATGTTGTTAATAGCTTTCAAATAACTAATTATTGAGCACCCACCACCCATATATCTGGCATTGTGGGAGACAGTATGGGGAAGGTAAAAGGGTTTCCAATGGTTCAAACCCAGCTGGGGCTGAGGACTAAACAGAAGTGTGATTTGTGTCCATGTACTAGATGTGCACACAGCCCATTTCTAAACCTATGGCCAGAAACCATCTTTACAGTTATGGCTCAATTTCATGTATTCCCTCATCCAGTTTATAGCTGTTTAGTATTGCATTCCGTCTCTAGGTTTGATAAGTGGGCCTGTTCTGCTCAAAAGTGGCAACTCTACCACATGTTGACTAGCTGACTTCATAAAGTTTGGCCTCCTGAGAGATGTGTGGCTGAAAGAGAGGATGATGAGGGCAGGGAGGAAGTGGAGAGGGGCAGGTAAGCATGGGAGACAGAAGAGATGGACAGAGAGGAGAAGGTGAATGGATTAGTCGGAAACAGCAGAAGAAGCAGATGCAGAGAAGCTGAGTCACCCTAACTGTGGAACCATGAAAGCAGAGAACTGAAGGATAATGAGCTAACAGGCAGAGTGAACTGCAGTGTGTCTTGATTGGATATAACTGATATTGTCTGAGACATGGCTGTGCAGCTGTTGAAACTGCTCTAGGTTTTAGTTAAATTTTAAGTGTGTCATTAACACAGGTAAGTATACAAATCTTAAGTAAACATTTTGATGAGATTTCAAATACAGACTATACCAATGCAACCATACTAAAGAGAACATTTACTGGCCCCCAAGGAGCACCCTGTCTGGCTGCACTTTAATCACTATAGGTTAATTTTGTCTTTTTGAAGTATATAAGTAGAATAATAGTGTGTGGATTTTTGTGTGTCTGGCTTCTTTTATTCAGCATTCTGCTTATAACAACATCTATGCTGTTGCATATACTTGTAGTCTGTTTATTCTTACTCCTGCGTATTATTCAGTTCTATGAAAATGCCATGATTTTTATCCATTTCACAGCTGATGGGAATTTGTAAACTTTCTTAATTTTGGTTATTATAAAGAGTGCTGCTATGAACATCTTTGTACATGTCTTCAATAAATATACATATACATTTCTGTTGTATAATATATCTAGGACTGGAGCTGCTGGTTAAAGGTCTGTTACACTTTAGTAGTTATAACCAAATAGTCTTCCAAAGAGCTTATTCAATTTACACTCCCTCCAGTGATGTATATTAGACACCCGGTGCTACTCATCCTTGCCAATGTTTGGGGTATTCTGTTTTGCTTTATTTCATTTTTACTCTTCTGGGGAGTGTATAATACTATCACATTGCAATTTTAATTTGCATTTTCCTGATGATTAATTATGTGAGGCACATTTTCATGTTATTAGCCATTTGGATAACATGTTTTTATTTTGAATTGAAATATAACTGACATGATAATATAATAGTGGCAGGTGTACAACATAGTGATTCAACATTTATATACATTACAAAATGCTCACCACAATAATTGTAGTTACCTTCTTGAAGTACTTGTTCAAATATTTTGCCCATTTGTCCAATTCTTAAAATATTGATCCTTTTACTAGTAGGTGAACGCTGAACAGAAGTGGTGACAATAGTCATCCTTATTTCTAACCTCAGAAGGATAGTTTTTAATATTTCACTGAGTATGATGAGTAACATAGGTTTTTTTGATATAGGTTAGTTTTATCAGATTGTTTCATAAAATAGGTGTAAGTTTTATTTACTTATTTTTTGATTTTATAAAGATAATTATGTTTAATCTCATTAATTCTATTAAATGTGATGATTTTGGCATTCCTGAAATAATGCTGGTCATGATACACTACCATTTATATGTATTCCTCAACTTAGGTAATACCTTGTTTGGGATTTTTGTGGCTATATTTCTGAGAGAGATTTGCTTGAACTGTATCTTTCTTTAATATTCTTGTTAAGTTTTGGCATCCAGGTCATCCTGGATGCACAAAACAAGTGGGGAAATTTTTCTTATTTTTCTATTCTCTGAAAGAATCTGTGAGACATTGGTGTCATTTAATACTTAAATGTTTGAAAGAGTTCATTTATGATGCCATCTAGGCCTTGAATTTGTGTGTGTTAAGGCTATTAATTACAGATTCAACTAGATATATTCATTAGATATTTAGTAGATATAAGAATATTCACATTTTCATTTAAATATGTGAATAAATTGTGTTTCAAGGAATTTGTCCATTTCATATAAATGTTTAAATAAATTATTGTTAGTTTTTTCTAATGTCTGTCCAATTTGTAGCAAGGTCCTCTTTTCTATTCCTGATATAAATAATGTGTGCTTTCTCTTTTTTTCTTAATCAGCTTTCATTATCTATCATCCATCTATCTATCTATCTATCTATTTATCTATCTATCTATCTATCTATCTATCTATCTATCTATCTATCTATCTATCTATCTATCTATCTATCTAATCTTCTTATTTTTCCGGAACAAACTTTTGGATCTGTTGATTTTTCAATATTCCACATTTTCCATTGAATTAATTGAGTGCTGTAATCTTTATCATTGCCTTCCTTCTCCTTTTTTGGAATTTCTAAAAGAAAATTCTGAAAGAAAGAAGCTCTTGTAAATTCTTGAGGTGGAAATTTAGATAATTGATTTTTAGCCATTTTTCTTTTGAAATATTTGTGGTAATCTACAAATGTACAACAAACCACTCCCCAAACTAAGTGGATTAAAAAGGCAATTTATTATTACCTTTTACATTTGTGGAGATTGAAGGGCACAGCTGGGTGGTCCTCATTTAGCATTCCATGTATGGTAGCAGTCAGGTGGTTGGTAGGGTTAGACTTCTATGTAGGCTTTTTCACTCATAAGTTAGGATTTGGGCTAAGATGGGTGGAACATCGGGGGGTGCTGGTCAGGCATCTTTCTCTCCACATGCCTGACTTTCTCACCACTTGATGGTCTCAGGGTACAGATAGTTGATGTGGTGGTTACCATACCACAGAGAGACCATTCTGAGATCCAAACAGAAGCTGCAAGGCTTCTTATGATCTAACCTTGGAAGCCACATAATATCACCTCTTAGTTGTCTATAGGTTAAAGCAGTCACAGGCCACTTAAGATCCTAAGATATAGAGAAATCCCTTACCTCAATGTGGGAACTGCTGTGTCCAGGGAAGAGAGAAATTGATGACAGCTTTCTTGGAGAGAGACTATCACATTAATATGTCACTTAAAGCTATATATTTTCCTGAAAATAAAATATTGGCTGCATCCCACAGGTTTTCATGAATTGTAATTTATCATTCAATTCACAATATTTCTTAATCTACATTAACATTTCTTGTTGGGGTTATTTAAGGTATATTTTGGGGGTTTTCTAAATATTTGAGGAGTTTCTAATCAATCATCTTATTATGAAATGCTAGATTAATTCCACTGTGGACAGAGAATATACTCTGCATGACTTCAGTTCTTCAAAATTTGTTAAGGCTTGCTTTACATTCCAGTACATGGTCAGTTTTGGTTAAAAAAAAAAAAGTCTGTTTACTGGAAAATAAAGTGTATTCTGAAACTGTCAGGTGCTATGTTTTCTCTGTGTATAAATACATATAGATGTAAAATGTGTACATACATGTTTTACATGCACATATTTCAGGTATGTACAAACGTGTATTAGATTGTTTGTTATGAATTTTTTTCATATCTTTATATCCTTGAGGGTTTTTTAACATGCTTTTTTTATCAGTTAGTGAAACATAACAGAATCTATTTTTTAATCTGATTTTATATTTTCCCTTTTATGACTGCAATTTTTGTTTTATTTCCTTTGAAGCTGTATTGTAAGTGACATACAAATTCAGAATTGCCACATATTCCTAGCAGATTAACCCTTCATCACTTTAAAGTGTTCCTTTTTAGATCTACCTATACATCTATTGTTAAAGTTGAGATTTTATGATATTAGTATAGCTGCATCAGTTTTATTTAGGTTTGTGTTTGCACGACATTTTGTCCTCCAAATGTTAACCTTTTTTATATTCATATATTTGAGAAACTATGTCTATATATCTATACCCACTTATTTGTGTTATTTGAAATATTCTAACATCTTTAACTTATGGCTTATATCATTAGCTTTTCATGTAATTTTTGATATATTCACATTTGGATGAAATTTATCATTTTACTGTTTTTCTAAATTTCCATATATTTTGTTATTTTTACTCTGCACTCGTGTATTCTTTTAAAGTACTTTTTTAGAGTTCTACTTGGAGTCCTTATTATATTGTCAGTTCTTTTATTATTCTTTTAGTGGTTACTCGATATTACAACATCTATTATTAAAGTCTAATATAAATTAATACTTCCCCAACAATGTTAGAAACTTATTCTTTAACTCCCTTTATGCTTTTCCAGCATTTTATATTATTGTTATCATGTATTTTAATTTCAGATATATAGACCCCATAAGACTTCATTGTTATTATTTTATATAGTCAATGGTAACTTAGGTTTACCCATATATTTACCTTTTCTGATAGTCATTACTGTTTCTTGCATTTCTGTGCTTCATTCTGAAACAATGTTCCTCTGCCTGAAAACTGCTTTAGTATTTCTTTTCCT